ATAACTAACCATCAGTTGGTTAGTTTCATTGTGATGTTATACCATACGAGAATCACAAATAAAAACACAAGATATCACAATTACTAATCGAGTACGATTTGACGACTCCTATGAAAGTGATGTTTTATAGATGACGACGAAATGGAGATAGGAGATATTTATTTTTATATTGATGATCAAAAGAATATTATAATTGTTTCTTCATTTACAATACTTTTACTTTGAATAAGTTAAAGGTACTCAACAAAGGATTTGTTAGGGATTGTGTATAAGACAGATAAAATTCAATAATCATGTCGGAAAGCATTTCCCGAATATAATAATTCGACCCTATTAGCCTAGAACTCACGAATTTCGTATTGGGATAATTTTAGAGTTTTCTTCTCGTTTCCACAGGCTATGAAAAACGAGATATATACCCAGATTCTCGTTTTACATATTTAAATGAGAGATCGATGGTTATTGGCGGTTGAACGGTTACAATCATTAATAGATAAGGTCAAAGGGTAGTTATAACTGAATTTAAGTTCTAGAACCACCAGGTACGTGTCATCATTAAAGACATGTTCAGCGATAAGCTGAAAGCTGTTCAGCGACAACTGAAGGCTTTTCAACGACAACTGAAGCCTATCAACGACAACTGATACCTGAAGCTGAATATTAAGTTATGACTTAGTAAAATTCCTAAGTCCAAGAACTTAGTTATCACTTAGTAAAATTACTAAGTTCAAGGGGACCACCACCAATTGGAACCCCACCAGGGGCGCTCCCCCTAGGACCCTGCAAGGGGACACGACCCCCTTGACCTCCTCCTACACTACCTAACTTACGTATGTTTGTTTTATCGTTTTAATTGATCTCAAGTAAATCACAATTACACCAAAACGCTTGATGACACTAAAATCACCTACATCATCTCTCACTATCATATAATCGAGTTTATAGGACGTTTAAATGTGTTTTAAGTGTCCTTAGTAGAATGTCTTATAGGACTTTAGTTTATAAGACCAAAAATATATATAAAGTGTTCTATTTAAAAGTGTTATAATAAGTTTATAAGACGTTTTTTGGTGTTGTAATAAATTTCTTTTAGGACTTCTTAAAAATAAATTGTCGTATTAACTATATTCTATATGGAATTTTTCCGAAGTGTCATAATCCATTTATATGATATTTTTTCAAATAGCGCCAGATAAATAGCTAATATAATACTTTATTTTAACATGTCCAAAAAACTTGTTACGACACCTAAAAACATCCTATAAAAACTTATTGTAAATTTATAATGTTTTTATTGGACACTTTATAGTTTGTTGCTATAAACTTAAATCTCATAAGACACTCCATTAAGATACTTAAACACTTTACGTGTCCTATAAACTCAATTTTATAATACTGTGTTAACCTTCTAACGAATGAAGGGTGGGAAGAAGTTGTCATAAATATGACATAGATTATAGATATAAATTAGGGCAACTTGGTGGGTCTGGTCTTTGAATAGTAACATCTTTGAGATGAACGCGACTTCATGGGTGACTATGACGTTGCAACCACAAGCCACCTTGACATAGGCGACTTGTTTGTGCAACCTCAAACTTGCATGACCAATTCACATGTAATGAATCACACATTCATCTTCTTTATAACAGACATGTATGTTGCATACAATGTCATGTTTATCATTGTCTTACGTATCACATAAAAATAATAGTCCACCTTGATGCTAAGACACTCACAACAATAATCCAATCAATATAATTCCCAAATATGATAAACAAACCCATAACTTAACCATTAATGAGTTTTGACATAACTGTCGCCTATGAATGCAAAACTAAACCAAAATGCCATACAACATAAGTCAAACATTTCGAACAACAAACACAAAGCTTGTGAATCTTCAGATATACAACAAACCATCTCTCTTCCCACTGTGCCACAACGTGACACTAACACTTGAACAACCATATGATCTTCGAGAAACACTCAAAAAGGGCAGAACTCAAGGACTTTGAAAACATATAGGCTACATTATCATTTGTATGAACTTTCATGAATGATATCAACTTTTCTAAGTGCATAGCAATAAACTCTCAAACATGTATATGGTTCCTTCTTGTGCATAAAGATAAGTTTTGAGCAAGGTGGGTTGTACATTGACTATCATAAATCACAACCACCATATCCTAAAACAAATCACCATTTTTAGCAGTGGGGAATTTTCCGCAATGGGAGAAATCTTGACGGAGCAATGTCGTGTGGAGGTAGAAGGCCCACTTGCTTCAAGTACATTGCTTCATTCATTGCATCTACAACTAATACTTTGTTTCATTTGCGAACAAAGAAAAAATGGCTTGCAACCTCGCACGTCAACTAATGAGCAAGAATAATGTTTGTGTACTATTGTGATGATTGATGAATTAATAAACTAAAACAGGGTGCAGACGTAAACTTTACTGAGGGATAAAAGCAGTTCAAAAGTTGATAGCACAATTATATATGATATTGTCATATTTTTAGTAACTTCAGTTTTGACATCTTATCATTGCAAAAAGTTCTTCAAACTCCAAATAGATCATTGAAATTGATGTTGCTAATGTTAAATTCATTCTATGAAGAACTTAGCATTTTGCTTCAACAAGTGAAAGTAAATATCTGTGTTGAATTATGAACACTGTATTGAACACTTATAAATACATATGAACATATAGCTAACTTATTAACTAATCTTATTCCATCGCTTTCACATATGAACATACGGGAACATTTATGAACACTTATTTGCACCTATTTAAAACTTATGAACACTAAAGTAATTGACTTTCACATGTGATCAATATGTTTCGCTTGTGAACACATGTTAGCCAAATGTTAGATGTATATAGATATTGTTTTATGAACACACTGGAACACATGTAAATAATTATATACACCATATCAACATTGGTAAACACTCAATTTATTGACTTTCACATGTGAACACAATACTTCTTAATCATAAGATCTATAATCTTTTTGTATTGTGTTCCACCATCTTCACGCATGTTTTATATCTCGATTATGAATATTTATATAACGAACACTCCTACACCACTACTATCGTTCAATAAATCAAACTCAGTGTTTTGATGTGAAGAATGTGCCGATTACATATATGTTGAAGATAGAACATCTAAGTTTTTTTTTATTATATTAAAACAACAAATCACCAATAACTTGGACAAAAATAAACATATTATTTTAGTTATAACAATGGGATTGATGTTTTTGTAACCGTCTATTAATGAAAATAAAGTTAAGACAAAAAAAATTATAATTGTATCCTCAATATTAATTGCATGATGATAGAAGAACATAATCTAACAAAGGTTTGTGATTTGTCTAAATGGTTTGTGATTTCTAAGCGTCCTAATAGATATTTATAAGACCTAGTTTATAGGACCAAAAAAAAAATAAAACATCCTATTGAAAAGCGTTGTAATAAGTTTATATGACCTTTTTTGACGTCGTAATAAGTTTTTTAGGACACTTTTAATATAAAGCGTTCCATTAGCAACTTTATATGACACTATTTGAAAATTGTCCTATAAAAACAAATGTCCTATAAAAAATTTAGTTTATAGGACACTTTCTTAAAAGTGTCCTATAAAGTTGCTAATGCGACAATTTGTATTAAAAATGTTCTAAAAAACTTGTTAAGATGCCCAAAAACGTCATATAAACTTATTATAACACATTTTAGATAGGACGCTTTATATTTTAGTCATATAAATTAAGTTCTATAAAGCGGTCTATTGGGATGCTTAGAAATTGGAGGTGTCCTATAAACTCAATTTTGTTGTAGACTCTTTTCATGGTTAACAAATAATCTTAGCGTATGCACGGTCTATATAATATACATATATATATATATATGTGTGTGTGTGTGTGAGAGAGAGAGAGAGAGAGAGAGAGATATAATTAGAATGTGTGAACCGTTTTCATGATATTTTATTGAGTCACCAAAACCTAACTTGTATTGTTTTAGAATTGATGGAATAGTTGGTGAGATTAATTAAATGTAACATGAGATAAAATATACTAAAACCATACCTAATCATGGTTGTATATATTCAATGATATCATAAATTATGTAACTTTCAACTAACATTCTTATAGCATTCACTTTTTTTAAATGTTGTAAACTTTCTGTTAATTAATGTTTTGATATCCAACGTAGACCAAACCTTCTCTAATCTCTTCTAGTTTTGTGCCTTACAACAAGAACAAACTGAGTGCCATTTACTTGTATGCTTAGAGATAGGCCAAACCTTGTAACCAACTGCAACCTTAATAGATATCACCACAATAAAATTAAGTTTATAGAACGACTATTACATTTCATAATATATATATATATATATATATATATATATTGAGTTTACGTGAGACCAAACTGTTTTCGTAAGACCACTCTTTTACACTTGAAATTTCACATCAAAATGATGTGAATTAAAAAAGATATGAACCTTCACAGCAAAAACACTGTAAAAGTTACATTCATAGTGTTTTGTTGTGAAATAACAAGTGTAAGAAAGTAGTCTCACGGGTCTTACGAAAACAGACCCAAATCTCTTTCTCTCTCTCTCTCTCTCTCTCTCTCTCTATATATATATATATATATAATTTGATTAGTCTCTTTTGCTTAATACTATTACAATTTTTAATTTGTCATGAACTATAATTACATGTGGTAATACACTTTATTTTCCTAAAAGAACTTATTGGAAGCGACTAAAAATGTCCTATACACTTATGTAACACTTTTATATATGTCCCACAATTGTTTGGTCTTATACCTATTAACTGGTCGGATCCTTAACAGAGATCACCGGTTCAAATCCCCACAAGACTTTTGCATGATTTGTCTCACTTTTAACTTCATGACCCGTGAAATTAATTGAGGTCCGCATAAGCAGCCCAAACACCCACAGTTGGTTTAGATCCATAAATATCACTATCCTAAAACACTTCAATCTTTATTCAGAAGTGAACCCCTTGCAACAAGGATTGGGCTAAAAAGCCAAACTTCAACTCTGCTAAAAGTTATGAGATCAAGCTCCTTAAAACCAGTCTGCATTTCTAACATTCCAACACATTTTTCAAACAGAAAGTACCAACACAAAACCAGATAATAAGGAGGAGACAAAATGACATAAGACCCATCAAGAAAGGCCACCCAACGATGCTTACACCGAAACAAACCATCACGGTGAATGGCAGGAACGACCTAATGACCGCCATGGCGTCCACCCACCGCCCTCTGAAGAGTACAAGGGCCGCCACACTCATCATGTTCCAATTCATTGATCCATCATAGCAGATCCGGTTCAAACAATTAGCAACATACGAGTAGGAGTTACATGTGAAGAGGTTATACGATTTGTGCTCAAAATAACGCCTACTCGACTGGACAGCATCGTCCCAACTAATAGCGCTGCCTATTTCTGTATGCTTGTAACGGTACTTACATGTGTGACTGGCGAGGTTAGAGGGGAAGCAACACTGTTCAAAAACAATACAATATGTATAGTTGTGTCATTTTTACAAACCAATATTATTGTAGTATTTTCAAGATTTTGGAGCAGATTATTTTACACCAGAAGGCTGGTCATTTGAAGTTCATCGAGTTGATTTTTATAAAAAGGGCGGTCTCCTATTTAAGAACTCATTAAGGCCATTCCATTAGATGACCATACACTTGAAATTCAGCAAAATAGGCAATTTTTTGACTTGTCTATTTTTCTTCCTTTGCAAAGTTCGCTTTAATCTCTCCTAAAATAACTAATTCTTGTTTTCCCTTGGAACGGAAGTAATCTTCTCGTGTACCTTTTAAAACCAAACCAAACCAAACACACCCGGTAAATCCCACATAGAGGTAGGGTGTGGGGAGAATAAGATATACGCATATTAGAGATGCACAAAAAACTCGGGTTTTTTTAGGCCCGGGGCCAGGCTTGGCTTTGGGATTGAAAGAGCGCATGATCAGGCTTTTTCAGGCCGGGCTCTAACTGGGCCTTGAAAAAGTAATGTCGGCCTGATCAGGCTTTTATGGCCAGGCCTAGGCCTAGCCCTAGCCCGGGATTACTAGGCCAGGTTTTTTCAGGCCGGGCTTTGGGCTTGGACTCTTTTGTGCATCTCTAACGCATACCATACCTCTACTCAGAGGCTAGAGATGTTGCTTTAGTGACTAACCCCGGGTTGGAGACTCGTGTACCTTTCACATAAGAAATGATGGAACAAATCAATAATGGTTGAGTCATGAGGAGAGACTAGTGCGAGAATTAAGGAGTTGTACCTGCTGACGGTCAAGTTGAACGTATCTGGCCACAGCACCATAAGCAAAATCATCAGTATTGACGAAGTTGGAACCCGAGAAATCTACGACAACTCCATCCTCCATGCATAAACCAACATGCCCAATGAAAGGCGCCAACCACGAGACCACCGGAAGAGGAGTCCATACCAAACAACAAGGGAATCTCGCTTTTGTTGGGTTGATTTCATCGAGAGGCCACAAATCATGCTCATCGTCTTTCGTATAACTTGGATCTTCAACATCACCCATTGGTGTTAATGCTAGCTTCATGGTAAAAATATCTAGAAAGAATTCAAGTCATTGCATATGTTAGTCACAAGATTTCTTTTGCATCTTGTTAGGGAAGTCGCAAATAATATAATTTTCGCCATTGTGGAAATGTATGTCTGACAACCGACAAATGGTCCGACACTTCACTAAATTTATATGGCTAGTAAACTAAACCAAACAAACCCCGTATAACCATATGATGTCGCGAATAATATAATTCTTTTGATTTCAGACCTTGACCAATAAATACATTTCATGCTGGAAACTAGATTAACCCACAAGAACAAGAAATAAAGAATAAAGGTAACCCTTCGGGGTATCTTAACTGGTAAGACCTTGGTTGCTCCCGGTGGTCACTAGTTCGAGTCCTCTTAAAGCAACCAGAGGTGCACACAAACTGACCCGGACACCCCCAATTATTAAAAAAGACAAGAATAAAAGTAATAGAAGAATATTTTTAGATTGAACAAACTGAGAATACCTTAAGACAACCACAAAATTGCACCTTTTTTGTTTGTTAAGTTCAAGGCAAATGGCCACGGCTCCAACAGAAAAAATCAACGTCCAACAAAGGTAGAGAAGAAATCTTAAAACAGTTCGGTGATCCTTGCATGTATCAGAACAACCAATGATGATTCTGTCGACGAGATTAGGAATAAAAATCAAGTAGAACAAACAAGAAGAATTGAAATTCTGCAATCTTTTGATAACTTCAAGGGGATTCAGGGTCCCTCATATAAAACTTGCTATCTTTTAACATCAGAAGTAGCTGTTAGCTCCATAAAATAAAGCCTTCCTTATGATAGATGGACCTGTAACAAACATGCAACAATGTTGAATATCAAGTCAAGAAAAAGTTCGGCAGGACTTGAATATTTCCGTGGAAGTTGTTAATGTACATTCCAAACAGAACTTCAGGTCCCGTTTGGTTTGTAGGATTTGGAATTCAATTCCATTCCAATCCCATGTTTGAAATTCAGGGATTTCATTGAAATCCCACAAGGGAGTTGTTGTTGGTATTTTGCGGGATTTGGTAGCATTTGTGTCTAATAATGTTTTAAATTATGTTGTTTCCTAATAATCAATTAATACAAAGATAATTATATTATTTTATAATTTGTTTTAAAAATTATTTTTAAAAATTGGAATTCAATTCCATTACACATCCTACCAACCAAGCACACCAAAGATTCTAAATCCCTCCAATTCCAAATCCTTTCACGAAATCCAAATCTTATAAAACCATTTCATCAAACCAAATGCCTCCTTAGAGATTACTAGCTGTGTACCCTGGGATGCAGCGGGATGTAAAATTTAATATAAACCGAGAACGGAAAGTTTATGCGATTCTTCATCAAAAAAGATAAAAATTTATGTTTAAACACAATATAAATCACAAAACCTGTAATCATACAAATTTGTACATAAATGAATAAATATGCTAAAATGTTCTATTTTTTTATTTTTATCTTCTTTTGGGAAGGGATTAACGGTGAGATGGATTTCCAAAACCCATGCATCATTGTTCATAACTCTTAATGTATTAACGATTTGTATTTAATGCTTCATAGATGTTGTACTCTTGAAATTTAAGAGTTTTACCTAAATTTTATATAAGATAGTATAAAGACATCTATAAAGAAAGAAAATGTCCAAAATGGCATGTTCCTATATCTTGATAACAATGCCCGAACAGCTTAGAAGCTAAAATGCAATGAGCATCAAAACTTGAGTTAAAAATTGTGTGCACATTGGGTACGAACTGGGTGCAGATTGGGTTTGTCAGGGTGTACACCCATTTATTAAATCTTAAAAAGATAACTTGGATAAGGCTTGGCCAAATCAGGAACTGCTCCAATTTGGTTCAGGTGTGTGAGCTATATACCTTGACTTATTCTATATAAATGGTTTACCACATTTTTCATCATTTTAAATTATGTTGAAGGCTTCTAATACTTCTAGGTTCAAAAAAGGATATAACAAGTCTCGAATACCTTGGACATCTAAAAGCAAATAACCCTCCAAATAATCAGGATTTTCACATTTTGTTTTTTATCTCTTTCCATTTTCCAACTACTTTCATATTCATACACACTCTTTTCTCTGCTTGTTTCTACTGTACATCTCACTTTTCCAGTAGTTTATACTATGTGCCTCCACTCTCGTATTCCATTTGCTGTATGTTCAGTTTTTCTTGATATTTAAGCAGTTTCTTTTTTTGTGTTTGGAGACGTGACATCAAAATAATGTGTTATCAGCAAGCACTGTAATGAATTACATTTGTCTACGCTCTGATTAGTTTTCTTAAGTTATTTCTCAAGTCTTTTTGTCTAATATGTGTACAATCTACAAATACATTAATATGAGCACCTTCAGAATCTATAAAGTGTGGCAACTAATTTTTTTAAAATAATGCGTACACTCCTTGAGCAGCTAAGAACGAACATGGCAGCCTCAGACATTTCCAAGAACATAACATCCAATAGGAGCTTTTGGAGATGTAGGACTATGGGTAGGGATCTGTAGCTGGGCGAGGAAACAAGAGTTGGGAGTAGTTGGAGGGTGAGACGAGAAAAGGGGTAGTGTGATGGCAGTGAGGTTATCAGCGCATACGGCCTTTGGAGGGTTGCTTTGCTTTTTCCTACCCTACAAGTATGCTACTGTTTCCACGTGTGTTGTGCATTAGTCCTACATTCTCTTCATGTAATTGTAGTTGCTTATATTGTGCTTCGTGCTCCCGTCGCCTTGTTTGTATAACCTCTCTGCCTTTCCTTTCCTCTGACATGTTACATTGTTCATTTACTTGTCCTATATCGTACTCGCTTGTTATATTGATTTGTGCTGCAAGTCAGGGGTCTTCATGGAAACAACCTCTCTACCCCTCGGGGTATAAGTAAGTGTGCGTACATCTTACCCTCTCCTGAGCCTACCTTTGTGTGGGATTTACTAGGTCCGTTTAGTTTGGTTCGTTTAGTCCTTGATATAAATGTTACTACCTCTCCTCTACCGCAAAGATTAGAGTGGTTGTTCTCGTACCATACAAGCCTGTAAAACATAATACCTCAACTCTTATGATAAAAGCATATATCATACAAGACAACTTTTCCTGTATACATAGGAACGCGATATAGGCTCAAATCCAACTACTTCAATTTACAACTACCAAAGTTTAAAATACTACTTTTGAAAATCAAAATCGAAAATCAAATTAAGTAATGAGCATCCCTATGAGTGTTTCAAAAACATACTCGAAAGCATTGTTCTATTCTAACTAATCAATTTACACAAGAAACAAAGAGCAAAGAGAAATAAAAGTAAAAAAAAAAAAATGCAGATCAAGACAGAAGAAATTCTAGTAAAAAAGAACAATTTTTATCGTAAATTTCAATGTCATGTAAATATTTTTCATAAAAGGTTGAGTAGCTATTGAAGATCGGTATGGTTCAAATAAAAGTGCATGCACACCGTGTTTCATCACTATAGTTCAAGTGTTATGCTTTAAAAACATATAAGTGCATTATAATTACATAATACAAATATGTAAAAGCGATTTCGACTTTTGAAAATTGGGTTGAAATTTATCCAAAAAACCAGTAAGAAGCCAAAAATAAACGCATTGAATTTAGGCATGACTCAATCTTTGGGGGATGCAGTTCTTAATCGATCACAACTTAGTTAGATTGTGGATCAGATAAGACCATTATTTCATCCAATCCAAATTTGATCTAGACAATGAAACACACAATGATCCAAGGAACTGATCATTGGATGTCAAAATCTGGAACCACCGATACTTGCGTTTGAGTTTTGTATTTGCAGTGGGTACGAAATAGCTCCAGGTGAGACTACATATGCACTGGTGTTGGTATGCACCCATCTCTCAAAGTAACAACAATATCACTTCGACACGGCTTAGTTAAGTTGGATGCAACATGGGTATGTTGTCTTCTTGATAGTTCGCCTAGTTTCAAACTTTTGTTCGCAATGCATAATTCTTATAGTCGAATGAGATAGAACACTTCAAATCAAATATATATTATATGATGGCCGTATAATATAAAATATTTACAGCCCAATGTTTAGAATTTTAACATTTTGTTTTGTTTCACACTGCACTCCTCTTTAAAATTATACCAAATGAACCAAGTAAATTCCACGGGGGGTGGTCCAGGAAGGGTAAGACGTACTCCTCTTTCTATCATTTTATTCATATAGACTAGTCAAAGTGATTATGTTATGAGCCTCTTTCCCTTGCTGTTCTGATACGACATAGTATACAATATTAGCTATTTCAATAAAATGATTATATATTACATAAGTGGGGACCACCAGTTGCCACCTGTAGTGTTAGTATTGGTTCTTTTATTAAATCAGTTAGTGTAGTCTAGAAGGTTCTTATGTGAGCTGGATATAAGGTCATCCCTTCTTGATGTAAGGATATCTTTTGGATCACTTTTAATATGAATATCAAGGCACCAGAGCTGTTCTCTGTGTAATTTGAGTAGCCCAGAGCTGTTCTCTGTGTAATTTGAGTAGCCCAGAGCTGTTCTCTGTGGTTTACCCCTGTTTTCTTGAACTTAGGTAATCTAGACTTGAAGTTAGTGGTAGTTATAAGTTAGTTATGTATGACAGTTATGTATTCAACCGCCAACCATGAAATGTTGTGATGGTTCAAACTCTCTCTCTCTCTATATATATATATGTAAACATATGTAAGATTTGTGGTTAATGAAAGTTGTATGTTTCTTAGTGAAGACAACTTCTCTGTGGTAATCCTTAGTGGATTAAGTTTGTTTGTGATAATCCAACAAAGTGGTATCAGAGCCACAGTTTTTGGATAGAAACCTTCTTACAAATCATAGAAGAAAGTCGTTTACATGGTGTCTCATAATGGGAGTATGTTACAGCCACAACTACCCAAATTGAACAACCGAAACTATCATCAATGGAGTATTCAGATGAAAGTTTTGTACGAGTCACAAGATCTGCAGAGTATAGTGGAAAACGGTGTGAATGAACCTACAAACACTGCCGGATTAACCTCACAACAGACCAATGAATTACGCGAAAATAAGAAAAAGGATAAGAAGGCGTTGTATTTCATTACCAAGCAGTAGATGAGGTTATATTCGAAAGAATCTCTGCATCCCTACCATCAAAGGAAGCCTGGGAAATGTTATAACAAAACCTATCGAAGAGAAGAACGAGCAAAAACCATACACCTTCAAACATTGCGATGCGAACTAGACAATCTCAGAATGAGAGATGCAGAATCGATCGAGGAGTTTTATAGTAGGGTAATCGCCTTAACAAATCAGATGCCTATAAATGGTGAAACCATAGATCATGAGAGAATCGTAGAAGAGATTCTAAGAAGCTTAACCCAGAAGTTTGAATACATTGTTGTGGCAATAGGAATCCAAAGACCTATCTACCCTTTCTCTTGAGAGTTTATTAAGAACTCTGCAATCTCATGAATTGCGACTAAGACAGTTTTATACTTCTCAAGTAGACCAAGCATTTCAAGCCCAAGTTCATTCAAAAGGAAACTCTAATGATAAAGGAAAGGGGAAGTGCCATGGGAAGGGGAAATGGCAAGGAAAAGGCCATGAAAAAGGTCCTGACGTTGGATCAAAATCGTGATGATCATGGTGAGGGGACGTCTAAGAATAGAGGACGTAAGAAACCACTCTCCCAAATCTAGTGTTATCATTGTCACCGTTATGGTCACACCATTAAGTTCTGTAGCAAGAAACAAGCCGAAGAAAGAGACTCCACGTTCATGCATGAGAAGGAGGAAGGCGATATTATG